AATAAAAAGCCCGCTTGTCAATTTTTGTTTGTTTGTTTGGCTTCTTTGCAACACGTTACGCTGGCCGACGTTTATCATTCACGATTGTTTTATTTTATTTTATCTGCTTTTTTGTGAAGGACGTTTCATAAGTTATTCGAGTACAGTATCTTGAAGTATGTTTAAATTTAAATATGAAAGTATATTTCTTGGTGAAAATCTTACAAACCCTCTTGTGGAATGGAAAACGAGACTTGAAAGAAGTTTCTGTCGGGTTTCTACCGATCGTCTCCTTTTAATATCCGTGCTGATTTCAAGGCAAATTTCGCAAATACTTTAGTTTAAAAATCAATTTTTTATTATTGGATTTTCAGTGTCTGATCTGTGACATTGTCGCGAGGACGTCAATAAATTGAACTGCGATTTTAGTTCATTCCTTTGAATGTTTACAAATTTTTGGAACATGCAAGTTTGTGAAGAGGACATTATTTTTTCACTGCTGATTTTTTTTTTCAATTTAAAAATTGCATGACCTCATGTGAACACTTGAAACGATGTGATTGTTCCAGATCGTGTTGCATTCAGCAAAAAATGATAATAATTTTTTCCGCGTTTTATTTTGAAGATTTATGTTCATTTGGATATTAATTCTTCTGAAATTTCCCGAGAAAAATTTGCATCGAATTCAATTCTATCGAGCAGTTTTTTTGGTTTTAATTCAGGGAAAAGTTTGCATTGATTTTTTTTTGTGCTGAATTTGACCAACTTCGCAAAACCGTGGTGTTTTTTCTCTACGGGAAGCGGTTTCGCTCAATTAATTGCATAAATTGTGTTTGGCATCAAAGTATGTTTGAATGACAAAAAAAGTATGAGTTGGCCCTCGTTATTTTAATTTTGAAATACAGTATTGAAATCACGAGGAATATAAGACTTTTTAGCGCCATTTTTAGTTTAAAATTGCGTGACCTCTCTGAGTATTTCGAACTATTCGTTTGTTCCAGATTATTCTGCGTTCAGCATAGAAATATTTTTCACCTGCGTATTATTTTAAAAATTTGTATTCAACTGCATAAAAATTCTCCTGCAATTTTCCGAGAAAAAATATCATCGATTTCAAGTCTATCAAGCATTTTTTTAAAGATTTAATTGAGGAAAAAATTCGTATTGATTAGGTCCACTTTGCAAAACCATAAATCAAGTGTTTTTTCACTTCTGAAAGCGGCTCAATTAAATGCATGATTCATTTTCGGCATCAAAAGTGAATGACAAAAAGAAAACTTTTGAACTCACCCTCGTGATTTTCGCATTCTTTTCTTCATTCATTCTTTCATCCATGTTCATTTCTTTTTCTTGGTTTGACACACGTTTTTCTTTTTCTTTTTTTGTATTTTCTGGTTTCGGCTCAGGATTATGACATCGGCGTTCCGTATCAAGATGTGAAGAACCGAGCCGCTGTTCTCGTGCATCATGATCCGAGTGATGAAAGTTTGCTGCTGGTGAGTTCACTGCTTTTTTTATTGTTTTTTATTCCCATTGTTTTTTTTCGCATTTCCTTGAATTATGTTCCTCCCCCTTTTCTTTCTATTTTTTTTTTATGTGCGAATTCATCCGAAGAACGTTCCACAAGATTTCATGACGCGTTTCGAAATGTTTTTTGTAGCCGAGATTAAATTCTTTTTTTTTAGCGTTGATGCAGTAAAAAAAAAATTTTTAGGTTCTCCTTTTCATCTGCTTTTTCTTGGATTAAAGTTTTTTGCTTTCTCGAGACGGGTTGTAAAAAATCCGGAGTCCGGACGAGAAAAATGTCGTCGTGAATTTTCGCTTTGCAGCTTCTATAGTGAAATTGGTTGCGTAAAGGAAAACGTGACGAGGGTTTCGCATATTTCGATATATTTATTTCTCCGGATTGGTAAATTAATTTTTAGACTTTCATTTCGAAGGAGTATCTGACTTTTGACTGCTGATTTTAGGATTAAGGGTGTGTGAGCTGACATTTCTTCAATAAGGAAGAAAGGCGATATACTTCAGAAAAAAATTCGTTCTCTCTTCGTATGGTCATGAAGATAAATTTATTTTATAACCGAAGAACCTTATTTTTTGTGTGTGTGTGTGTTGACCCAATCAGGGTGAAGCTAATTCCTCGTGTTTATGGGATCGGTTGAGGAAAATCATTTTGGCACGGTTGTATAGTATATAATATTTCAATTTTCCGAAATCGGAACTGAAGTTTGAGTTTTGCTGGAATGGAGGAAATTTCCTTTGTTTCGGTGAACTTTTTTGTGTTGAATTTTTATAATTTTCAAAGTAAAAACATAACAAAAAATGATCTCGGACTCCGTTAAAAAATATTTACGTGCTTCGAAAGATACGTTTACTACAGATTTACTGAATTAATGAGGGGAATGTTTTCGTTTGCGTTCCTTTTTCTTGTGAGACTTTATATTCAACTTTACAATTTTTTAATCTATCAAGAAGAAAAAGGGCCTTGATCTTTTACGCGTGAAATTGATATGTGTGGTATTTTAATTTCTTTGATGCGAAATAGTTTTCCGGTATCTGGATTATTTCATTGCCGTTTTTAGTGCAATGCGAACATAAAATTTGCAGATTTGTAGAATGATTGCCCATATTTCCATCGAAACTCTTTTTTTTTCTCCGTTAGATTTTGAGAATTCGGAATTACGAGGGAGTAGAATTTTTCTCTGGAGGATGATTGTACTTCATGCGGAATGTGTGTTTTTCAGTTGTTGTTGTTGTTTCTTTCATTTAGAAAGTATGAGAAGAAGTTTCACTGAATTGCACATGGAGAAGTCTTTTCGCTAAAAAAAAATAATGCTTTCAGCGCTTAGACTTGTAATTTCTCTTTTAGCTTCTGAAAATGTTCTTGTTTTGTCAAAATTGTGATGAAATGAGACTTTGCTAGCAAGAAATATCAGGAAAATATTTATTCACCGCAGTGAAGTTCATTTCTATCAAGATTATTTTCATGTTTGGACTTGAAGATGACATTTTACTGCAAAATATTTATGAATAATGTTTTCTTCTTCTTTTTTTGAAGATTTGACTTCTAAGTTAAGTGTGAGGGTTCATTTATATTATTTTTTTATTTGAAGTGTCTGGAAATAAATCCGGGAAATGTTTACTTGAAAAATTAAGCTATTTTCTGTGAAAGTTATTTTCAACTCTAAACTTGAAGATGACATTCTAATATTTAAAAAACTATTCATGAATAATACTGTATTTTTTTGTGAAGACTTGACTTTCGTGCGATGTGTGAGTGTTGATTCATTTTCTTTTTGATCTGGAAAAGCTGGCAGGAAATCCGGAAAATACACTGCAAAGCTTATTTCTATGAAAGTTTTTATTAAAATTAGATTCGAAGATGACATTTAAAAAATAATAAAACCTATTCATGAATAATATTCATTTTTCGAAGACTTGACTTTTGTGCGATGTATTAGGGCTATTTTCTTTTCTTTTTGATCTGGAAAAGCTGGCAAGAAATCCGGTAAATACCCATTTGACAAAGCAAAGCTTATTTCTATGAAAGTTTTTATTAAATTTAGACTCGAAGATGACATTCTAATAAATAATAAAACCTATCCATGAATATTTTTTCGGCAGACTTGACTTTCGTTCGATGTGTGAGAGTTGGTTTATGCTCTTTTTAATCTGGAAAAGCTTGCAGGAAATTCGGGAAATATTCATTTGACAAAAAAAATCTTATTTCTATGAAAGTTACTCTTTTAATTAGACTCGCAGGCGCTGATTGACCACAAAATTTCACTCAAATCTTCAGCTCTTTTTCAAATTTGTGGAAGGTTTTTATTTTATATTTGACTCGTTGCGTGATTGTCAATTTTATCTCTTTTTTTCCCTATTCGCCAAGGACGGGATAATTGGCGACAATATAGTGATTAGACCGGCGCCGATTTCGCTGAAGAAGCAATACTACAATCAGGCAAAGGCGGCGGAAAAGTCACGCACTTCGACAACCACTGCTCCTTCGACGACGACGACAACGTCGACGTCGACGATGTCGTCAGAGTCGTCGACACCGACACCAGATCCGGAACACGACGAATACGACGAGTTTTTGTCGGGCATGGACGAGGAACGCACCGGGCTTCACGTCGTGTACGAAAAGGAGAAACCGTTGGATGCCAAATTTGGCACGGATTACGGTGAGTTTTTAAACGTGGGCTATGCCAAAAAACAAAAAAATTAGTAAAATCCATGCGTGGATCAATAGAAATGAGACACAGTCACTGAAACTGGTAAATTTCTGGAGCAAAATTTAATTTAATTTTATAATTGGGGATTTTTGCAGAAGCAGCTTTGTAAAAAAAATGCAGAAACTACTTGTATTTCAAGATTTTAAAATGACTCAAATCAATAGGTGCAACAATTAGTAGACACAAAGCAAGGTCTTCTCAGGTCAAAATTTGGAGATTGAATGCTTGTTTTTTTTGGTCTGAACTTATTATTATTATATCTAAAAAAAGGGGGGGAAAGCAGGAAAAGAATTTTGTCCTTGTGAAATTTTGCAGATTTGAAAGGAAAAGTCCTAGAAGGACAGATAGTCAGGAATATCCGTGGGAACTTCCTGAAGAGATTAGCCTTTTTTGCTAATTCCTGAAACCCCTGTTTCTAAACAGCCCCTTATTTTATTTTAGACCCCATTATTTTTTTTCTCTGGTTCTAGTAGAATGATATTGGGCACAAGCCTCAATATAATTTGATGTCAAGTGATATGATATTGAGATTAAAAACACGTTACTCAGTCTGGGACAGGACTGGGATTCCATTATGGAATTCCTAGTTTTAAGAAGTAAATGTATTTTGGAATAAAGTTGGAATAAGTTGCCACAACTCACTTGAACTCAGCTTAAATAAATGGAATAACGCAGTGACTAAATTGAATCTAATCTGACAGTATTAAGAAGGACAAGCTTATATATTACCAATTACATTTAACCTTCACAAGGCTTTTCTATTTTCCTGGCACTGCGATTTTGAGGAGGAGGGATGTTATTATTTCTCAGAACTAGGTACACTATTTTACCTGGCGTGCATGCCCAGCAAAAATGATATTTACCCATTTTTTTTTCTATTGCTGTTGAAGAACTTTCCGAACGACCCTTTCGAGATGCGTTATTGAAAGACACGCACTCTGACAAAAGGGGGTGGGGGTTTTTTTTTTCAACAGGTTTCTTTCGTACCCACCCGCAGATTTGTTTATGTCCGACGCGTCAAATTTTGACGAATTGATGAATGCCCGCGTCGCTCAACTTCTCATTTGTTTATTTTAAATTTTAATCATATATTTTCTTGAATCCACGATGGTTTTTTTATTTTTGAATAACTTTTTTTGTCTTCTTGGATTCATCATCAGTTCTGATGGAGCCAGACGGTGTTCCGACTACATCCTCCACCACTTCGACGAGTCACAGCCGCAAGAAGCGATCAGCCCCTTACGTGATCTACCCCGAGGTGCTCATCATTGTCGATTACGACACGTACTTGTGAGTGTTGTTGTTTTTTTTTTTAAATTTATTTACTGTATTTATTCTTGTGCCATTTTTGGTGGAAGGGGGAGGGGAGAAAGGGCTGAGGAAATGAGGAAAGTGGGGATGGCAAATTGGGGAAATAACTGATGATGTTGAGATGAGTTTTTTTGGGGGAATTTATATGGGTTGAGGGATGAGTTCTGTGACGTTATTTAAATGTTGGGAAAAGTTACCGATTTTTTTGAGGGGGGGGGGGATATTCAATGGGTCATCGAATATTGAAATTCATTTGTTCCTGTTTGAGTTTTTTTTCCTTGAAGCCAATTTTCCTCAAGTTATATGAGTAGAACCAATTTGGGTTGCTTTCACTTGAAAGAGTTAAAAGTCGTGGGGAAATAGGGCACACGTTTTTACAAGAGTTGAATCCCACAAGTTTTAAACTCTCGCAAGTGAAAAAAAATTCACAGTGTTTGGTTTCATTTATAACTCGAGGGAATTAGGGCGAAAGCAATTTTTTAAATTACTGATTATGTTGAGGCAGAGTTCTGGGGAATTTACCGAAATTTCTAGAAGAAAGAAAATATTTTTTATATTTTTCATTCCCCGCATAACGAAAAAACGTGTGCAAAGAAATTGCGTAAGGGGATAAAAGTGACTCGCTTGATAAAATTTGTTTAACGCAACAAAGTCTTTCGGCCAAAAAATGCTGCAATTATCGAATTTTAATTTAAAATTTCTACAGAAAATAATTTATTCCGAATGCCGAACTTTATTCCACAGAAAGAAAGTTGAGAAAGTTTTTGGAGTTTTGGGTCCCAAAAAACTTTGAGAATACACCTTCTTGGTGAAGCTTTATTAATAAAGAAAAACTCTGAGAATGGTTTTTATTGGCAGACAGTGCGATTTTGTTTTGAGCGAATTCCTTTAAATAAGAGAATCCACTTACTTGTAGCGGATGCCTTAAAAATGGTCTATTTATACAGAAGACAATTTCCTCCGAATACTCAACTTCATACCACAGAAATAAAGTTGAGAAATTGTTCGGAGGTTCGGGTCCCAAAAAAACTTTGAGAATACATCTGCTTGTGGAAGCTTTTTCGAGAACAAAAAGTCTGCGAATGGTTTTCATTGGCAGACAGTCCGATTTTTTGGGGAGCGAATTTCTTTAAATGAGAGAATCCACGTTACTAGTGGCGGATGCCTTAAAAATGGCCAATTTCTACAGAACATAATTTCTTCCGAATATCACTCGTCCAGAACTTTCGAAACGTCCAACTTGAAACATTTTCGCGTGCCAATTATACCGGTTTTAATTTTTTGGGTCGTTGCGTCGTTCTTGTCTTATTACAGCTGTTTCGCTCCATGCAATTATAAATTTTTAATTCATGCGTAATCATCTGGTTCGTAGCCGATAATTTTCCCATCACAAAAATTGATTATGTTTGTCGATGATTCGTCGCCTTTCCCTCGCATGCTGTAGTACTGTAATTCGAAAACATTTTGTTCTTTGACCATATTTTATTTTATTTTTTCCTCCTTTCGTGAATATGTTGGCATAAGACCGACGATTTTCAAATCACATAAGTGATGATTCTTGTCCAGTCAGAGGAGGTTATTTCGAAACACAGTTGATAATTTTTGCAGTTTCTTTTTCTTTTGATAAGTGTTTTTTTATGCTGGAGAGAACATTAATTGTTTAACCTTGGGTTATATTCTGAACGGGATTTTGTGAGAACGAGTTCCGTATTAAATTTAAGGGTCTCACTATTCATTTAATGTTGATCACGGTTTTTTTTTTCTTTTCCCCGAGAGCCGCGAAGAAAACTCTTAATTTCCTGTTGCCGTCTGAATGGATTCATTTTCGTTACTTGGAGGATTTTTTTTTTTTCATTATTTTTGCTATGATTCGTTTATGACCTCTGAGATGTTCAGCATGGGATTTTAACGTGCGCGGTACAAGGAAATGTGCAATTTTTGCTTCGCTGTAAAATGGAAGGTCGAGGGAATTTTCAGAGCGCTTAATTTCTTTATTTTTTATTTTATGACAGCTTCACGACCCGCGATTACATTGCAGAGTTTAGAGAATCCATCATCAGAATGAAAAAGGAAAAAGGTCTTGGTTTGCTTTGAAAGACACTTTTGTGACTTTTTTTCAAATAAAGTGAATTTTGGAGATTATTTTTAGAAGAAATGCTGGATATTTTGAAAGATTGCGTGATTTTGAAGGATAAATTTTTTTTTTCAATTTTTCCAGCAATATTGGAAAAGTGTTTGGGTCTTGAAACATTGTCTGGATGTTGGGGCAGATTTTTTGCAGTTTCAAGTGTCCCAAAGTTGAATTACGTTATTGAGGACAGAGTCTCCAATATAATTTAGTGTCGAGTGTTGGATAAATGAAACAAGTTGGTCAGTCCAGGACAGGACTGGGATTCCTATTAGGAATTCCTAGTTTAAGAGATTAAGATATATTTCAGGAATAAACAAATAACAACAAATAACAACAACTCAACAAGCTCAGGCTTGGATAATGCACAGCTGAACACAACTGATCTGAAGAGAGAATATGAGGATGCTGCTTATATAGTATTTGCAATCAGAAACCTTCATAAGGTTTTACCACTCTAATGGCAACAGGAAAAAGTAATCATCAAAGATGCTACGGTGCCAGGTACATCCTGACACCGTAACCGGTACCAGGTTGTGCCTGGCACTGCAATTTTGAGGAGGGGAGGATAATTCTACAAACTTTAGGTATTATAGTGTACGTTAGCATGCATGCCCAATACACGTGCTTGTTTGGGCCTCCATATGTTGGGGTTCAATTGCAGTTCAGTTTGTTCAAGATATATTCAAAATTTGAAAATACACTTTTTAGAAATGGTGGGAAAGTGTCTGTATCTTGAGGCATTGTCTGGATAACAGGGCAGATTTTTTGAGTTTGAAGTGTCCCCAAGTTAAATCATATCTTTGTTGGGGCATCCATAAAATGTCAAATGCCATTTAGAAAACATGCCATTTGACATTGTTGTACAATTTTACCCTATAGTGCAGCAACAAATTAGGGTCAAATTGCAAAGTACCAACCATCTGTATCCCTGAGTTGAATCATCCATATGTTGAGGTTCTACAGTAAAAGAAAGAAATAAAGGAAGGAAGATGAACACACTAAAAACAAACAAACAAAAAACAGCTGATGTTCAGATCATGGACATGTGGCTCTGGTTTGCTTTCTAGCTTGCTGCTGGTAGCTGGTAGCCTGAGGCTCTCTCTCTCTCTCTTTCTTTCTGTCTTTCTTGCTTTCTTTATTTCTTATCCTTATCATACTTGTTATTTTGTTCTGATATTTTTTTCATTGCCGGGTTCGCTAACTGGAGCCCTGATCAATCAAACACGGCAATTTCTCTCTCTCTCTATCTCTCTGTGTTTCTCTCTCTCTGTGGTTCAGATCTCAAGGTCCGTCCGAAACATTGACTTGCACGAGAGAGAGATTGCTGGCAGGTCGCGGGTCTCGGAATTATGTCAATAGGGTTTGAAGGACGGACCGACGGGTCGGGCCCTAAATAATTGCTTCATCTGAGGAACTCGGGAGACGTGGGTTCTCTTTATTTTTAATTTTTTTCCACGTGTTTTTTCCCGGTTTTATTTTATTTTATAAATGGATGCTACAGTATGAGGCGTTGAGAGAGAGAGAGAGAGAGATGATGGGTTCTTGCCGCTTCAGGCTATTGATCCTCGAAGTATAGCGTAGAATGAAGCTTTATTTTGCCAAAAAACAAAATTTTATTCAAGAACAAAAATATATTGGAAATTATGGGAGAAATTCCTGTCGTAGATTTTTTGCGAGGTTGAAATAATAAATTGAAAGTAAAGCGTGGACGTATTTCGACTCCTGATGTTTCAAATTCACTCTCTCTCTCGCTTAATTTTTTTTATTCAAGAACAAAATTATATTGGAAATTACGGGGGAAATTCCTGTCGTTGATTTTTTGCGAGGTTGAAAAAAAAAATTGAAAGTACGGTTTGGACGTAATCCGACTCCTGATGTTTCAAATTTCTCTCGTCGCTTAAATTTCTCGGAATCGTAACTGTTCTGCAAAAAATATTTGCATCAGGGAAATAGATAGAAAACGCAGGAAAAATTTTCTGACGTAGTTGTTGCTTTGGGTTTTTTTTTTTTTTTTTGGATGAAAACTTACAGAAAATACTATTTAACTCAATCCGACTCTTGATGTTAGAAATATACCCTCTCATAAAAAGGAGGTTCAATTTCTTTACTCGGAATCCTTAACTTTTGTTGAAACAAAATTTTGTCGGGTAAAGAGGTTAATTGAAAATGCTGGAACATTTTCTGATATATCTGAGTTCGTTCTTTTATTTTTCAAAATTAAAATCAAATTGAAAGTACTGTACTGTACTACTTGAACGAAATCCGATTTGTGAGGTTCCAAATACAACCCCAGAAAAAAATCTTCAAATTCTTGATCGTAACTCTTTTTTGTGCAACCACATTTTTCAGATGAAGAGATGAAAAATGCTGTTTAAAAAAGAAATGCAGGCATAGGTTTGGTAATTTTTTTAAGAATTTGAAAAATCAATTTCAAAGTACTGTGTTGCCGCATTCAAACAAATTTGAATCTTTCCAAAGGAGTGGTTCTTTGTATGTGACGTGTTTTTCCCCCCATAAAAATGTATGAGAAACAAATTGTGATGCGTTCCCATCCCAAAAATGTTAATATACCTGTACAACTTCCCGACGTGAATTATATACTCCTGAGAATAATGCTTCCTTCGTTTCAACTCCACAAATGAGTTGAAGAAACTCACCAAACGATGAAAAATGTCAAGGGCAGAATAAAATATTTGCATAAATACATTTTGGCGCGTTTTTTTTTAATGCCTGTATAAAGCGTGAAAAGAATTCATAAATGTTGTCTTGAAGAACCTCTGCCATTTGTTTCATTATTCATTACAGTTCCTTTTTTTTTTTTTTGAACGTAAATTTTTTTTTTATGAAGCACC